ATCACATTGTTGGCTCATGTTTAACTTGTTGTCCACAAGGACTCCAAGATGTTTTTCACACGTACTGCTCTCAAGCCAGGCATCCCCCATTCTATATCTTTGCATTTCGTTTTTTCTGCCTAAGTGGAGTATCTTGCATTTGTCCCTGTTGAACTTCATTTTGTTAGTTTTTGTTAGTCTTCTGCTAAGCAAGTTCTGTAGAAAGAGAAGGGATGATTTTAACTTCATACTCCATGGTAATTTCATAGCATTGGTGTAAAAAATCATTTATTGAGCCATTTAAAATTATTTTAAACCTGTTATAGTAAGAATTTCCTGATGGTAGCTGTTTGACAGCAGAATATGCTACTGCATGGGAATCTCCTTCTCTGGAGGTTTTAAAGTCCAGGTTAGATCTATTGAGTCTTTTGATTATGTTTTCTGCATGGCGGAAGATCTTGAATTGTGCATCTCCCGTTGCCGAAACACCACAAGTACTAGGCTGATACAATTGCTAGACTGGATTAAATGGCAGTCTAGATGCAGCAACAGATGGAGAGATGAATATGCAATCTATTTTGAAATTGCTATGAGCCATAGAACGTATTGCTTCTTCTTTGGACCAAACTTGGCAGGGATACTCAATATGCCCAAATGTGAACACTGGTGGAGCTTGGGGAAAATAGACTTTGATATTTGGGAGTTGTGATTGCTGGGATTTATAGTTCACCTACAATCAAAGAGCATTCTGAGCCCCACCGATGATAGAATTGGGCCAAATTTCCTACACCGAACCCCCACAATTCGCTTCGAGAATTGGCTGTCTGCAAGGACGTTGCCCAGGGGACGCCTGGATGAGTTGATGTTTTTATCATCCTTGTGGGAGGCTTCTCTCATGTCCCCGCATGAGGAGCTGAAGCTGATAGAGGGACCTCATCCGCCTCTCCCTGGATTCGAACCTGCGTCCTGTCAGTCTTCAGTCCTGCCGACACAGGGGTTTAACCCACTGTGCCACCAGGGTCTCATGATTATCACAGTGTAGAAGGGGCCATGGTGGCACAATGGGTTAAATCCTTGTGTTGCTGAACTGCTGACCTAAAGGTCAGAAGTTAAATCCACGAGATGGGGTGAGCTCTCAGGCGTCATCTCCAACTCTTTTGCCAACCTAGCAATTCAAAAATATGTGAATGTGAGCAGATAGATAGGTGGGAAAAAAGGCAAAGTGACGCTCCAAGCAATCTTGCCAGCCACACAACCAGGAAGATGACAACACAGACTCTTCGGCTTGATAATGGAGAAATCTAGAGATGAGCACCACCTCCAGATGCCGGAAATGAAAGGAGAAGCCTCTGCCTTTGTTTGTGTTTGTGCGTCTCATTATATTTGATTGTAAAAGGCACTGGATGTTTGCCTAGGTATATAAATAATACTGTGATGCGCTCTGAGTTCCCTAGGGTAGAAGGATGGAATATAAATAAAGTGTATTATTATTATTTGAAACACAACAAGATGAGTCCCCAGCGACACTCTGCTGGCTGTTGAATTGGATCACATGTCGGACACTTCCCAAGTGTCTAGGACTGTGTGATGTATTGGCGAATAATGCATGCAGATCCCAGTAAGGTGGCCTTTTGCAGTTGGCAGATGATAATCTTGTCAGTGCCGATTGTGTTTAAGTGCAGGTCAAGGTCTTTAGGCACTGCACCCAGTGTGCCGATCACCACTGGGACCACCTTGACTGGTTTGTGCCAGAGTCTTTGCAGTTCGATCTTTAAATCCTCATGTCGTGTCAGCTGTTGTAATTTTAGAGCCATTGAAATCCTCAAGCATGTGGACAATTTCAACAGAAAGGAGGAAACCATGAAAATGAACAAATTCTGGCTACCAGTATTAAAAAACTCTAAAATTACACAGCACAATAACAGAAAGGAAACAAACAAGGACATCTAATCACCTCTCAACAAAAGTTTGCTCTAGGCAATGTCAGGCCATTATATGCTAATCAAGGTGGTCAGTTGAAACATTCACACCTAGCTCCAGCAGACAAGAGTCCTTTGTCTCACCCTGGTCATTCCACAGATATATAAACCCTTTTTCCTAGTTCCAACAGACCTCACTACCTCTGAGGATGCTTGTCATAGATGCAGGCGAAACGTCAGGAGAATGCCTCTAGACCATGGCCATATAGCCCGAAAAAACCTACAACAACCCAATGTTTGGTTGGATTGTTTGGATTGTTTTCTTCTATACTTCTTAAAATGGTTTTGGTTAATCAATCTGGGGCCCCTTCTGCACTGCCACATAATCCAGATTATCTGCTTTGAGTCAACACTGCCTTTGAGTCAACACTCCAGTTCAAAGCAGATAATCTGGATTTTATAGGGCAGTGTGGAAGGGGCCTAGGTTTGTAGGGAAAGCAGCCAAGTTCAGAATTATGCACCAAAATAACAAAGATTAAATCTCTTTTATAAGAACTGTGGATTGAGATACTTGTAAGTATTGTATTTCCATGTTGTAGTTTTCATATTTCAATATCTCTTGTAATAATTCTAAAACTTTGTGATGCTATTTTTAATTGCATAGATTGATTATTATTATTTAAAGAGCCATAACATGGATTTGGTTCACTGACACACATACAAACACACATTTCTTGGGTCCCAAATGAAATTAGCCAATCAATGATTTCCCACCCTTCAGAAAGCAGTATAAGTCCATTTATATGATGTGACTTAAGACTCACACTTTAGTTATAGAATTAACATGCCATTCGATTTTACTGAAAGGGAGAAGCCATTCCTTTTTTGTATTAGGAAATTAAAATGGGGAAATGTTTTGTTTTGAGATGGGAAAATGCTCAATGAACTGTAATTCATATTTGCTCCAAATCAGGATCCTTTGGTCTTGGATGCAATGAATCATTATTGCATTTCTAGACAGCTGGGCTTCATCATCATTTACTCCTGTATTCTTGATTGACGATGGGAATCATAGGAGGCAGATGTGTCCCTCTGCAGAAAGATGGAGATAAGGAGAGCATTGAAGGTTTACTGAAGACACCCAGTTTGGATTTTGCAGACATCTTGTTCACAGTACACCTTAGGATGGCTCTACACTGCTATATAATGCAGATCAGGCTGTGCAGTGAAAACTTAGAGTCCTGATAAGGACTCTGCTATGTTTGGGTTAGAATCAAAGAGTTGGAAGAGACCTCATGGGCCATCCAGTCCAACCCCCTGCCAAGAAGCAGGAAAATTGCAATCAAAGCACCCCCGACAGATGGCCATCCAGCCTCTGTTTAAAAGCTTCCAAAGAAGAAGCCTCCGCCACACTCCAGGGCAGAGAGTTCCACTGCTGAAACGGCTCTCACAGTCAGGAAGTTCTTCCTAATATTCAGATGGAATCTCCTTTCTTGTAGTTTGAAGCCATTGTTCAGCGTCCTAGTCTCCAGGGCAGCAGGAAACAAGCTTACTCCCTCCTCCCTATGACTTCCTCTCAGTGCCTTTTCACTGATGCACTTTAGCTCTTAAAGATGCAACAGGTAACAAATGTGTGCTTCTTTAGACCAAGGGGGAAAATGTAAACAACATTCAGCAGATCAAATGCATCATTAAGTACAATTAAATCTTCACACTGGGAAAAGATCTATCAAAAGATGTACAGATATGCACATGAAACCCTCAGTGGTACAAAAAATGATACAAACAAGGATGACAAGAAAATGCAGTTGTGGGTCAGAGATACACAATGATATCTAGCCTGAGAGAAGTTTCCCACATTCCTAATGAAGCTATATGCACATTGACACACGGGATATGTTAGCAATGAAGACTCATAGAATCATAGAGTTGGAAGAGACCCCAAGGGCCATCTAGTCCAACCCCCTGGCAAGAAGCAAAGCACCCCTGACAGATGGCCATCCAGCCTTTGTTTAAAAGCCTTCAAAGAAGGAGACTCCACCACATTCTGGTGCAGAGAGAGAGTTCCACTGCTGAACAGCTCACAGTTAGGAAATTCTTCCTCCTGTTCAGGTGGAATCTCCTTTTCTGTAGTTTGAAGCCATTGCTCCATTGTGTCCTAGTCTCTGGGGCAGAAGAAAATAAGCCTGCTCCCTCCTCCCTATGACTTCCCCTCACATATTTATCCATGGCCCTCATCATGTCTCCTCTCAGCTTTCTCTTCTGCAGGCTAAACATGCCCAGCTCTTTAAGCCACTTCTCATAGGGCTTGTTCTCCTGACCCTTGATCATTTGAGTCGCCCTTCTCTGGACACATTCCAGCTAAGAGTCAACAGTGTTGGACACAGTGTGATTCCAGGTGTGATCTGAGCAAGGCAGAATAGAGGGGGAGCAGGACTTCCCTGGATTTAGACACTAGACTCCTATTTATGGAGGCCAAAATCCCATTGGCATTTTAAGCTGCCACATGGCATTGTTGGCTCATGTTGGACTTATTGTCCATGAGGACTCCAACATCTTTTTCACGTGTACTGCCGTCGAGCCAGGCATCGTTCCGCATTCTGTATTGTTGCAGTTCCTTTTTCTTGCCTAAGTGACTCCACTTGCATTTGTCCCTGTTGAACTTCATTTTGTTAGTTTTGGCCAATCATCTCTCTAATCTGTTCAGATTGTTTTGAATTCTGCTCCTGTCTTTTGGAGTATTGGCTCTCCCGCCCAATTTGGTGTCATCTGCAAACTTGATGATCATGCCTTCTAACCCAGTGGTTCTCAACTTGTGGGTCCCCAGATGTTTTGGCTTACAACTCCCAGAAATCCCAGCCTGTTTACCAGCTGTTAGGATTTCTGGGAGTTGAAGGCCAAAACATCTGGGGACCCACAAGTTGAGAACCACTGACCTAACCCTTCCTCTAAGTCATTAACAAAGATGTTGAACAGGACTGGGCCCAGGACGGAACCCTGCTTCTGGCACTTCTCTCATCACTTCTTTCCAGGATGAAGAGGAAGCATTGGGGAGAATCACCCTCTGGGTTAATTCACTTAACCAATTACAGATCCACCTAACCGTAGTTTTGCCTAGCCCATATTGGACTAGTTTGTTTGCCAGAAGGTCATGGGGGAACTTGTTGAAGGTCTTACTGAAATCCAGATATGCTGCATCCATGGCATTCCCTGTGTCTACTCACCACGTCATGAAAGCTTCCTTGACAGGATGTCTTGACACATGAAAAAAGATCCCGAAGAATCTCACCTTTGGCAGCAGTGGTGCTGCGGGGTATTGCATGTTCCCGCTGAGCGCCAGGGACGCCGACACCTTTGAAGGAGACACAGCCCTTTTTCTTGCTGACATTCGAGATCGGAGTTTGTTCTTTTAGCAGACCCTGTTCAAAATAAAATGAAGAGCTCTGTTACACTGTGTAGCAAAAATTGGAAAAAATATGTTCCTGGTTTGCAAGCATTGTTTACTGTTTAATTGCACAGTGCTTACTTTGAAAGTAATTGTTGTGTTCCAGAAATGTCATTTTTGTGGCTGCCACAAACTATGTTGAATTGGTTGAGACTCAATGGCAGCGTTTCTCAACCTGGGGGGCTTGTGAGGGGATGTCAGAGGGGTCACCAACCATCAGAAAACAGAAAGTATTTTCTGTTGGTCATGGGGGTTCTGTGTGGGAAGTTTGGCCTTATTCTATCGTTGGCGGGGGGGGGGGGGGGGGGGGTCAGAATGCTCTTTGATTGTAGGTGAACTATAAATCCTAGCAACTACAACTCTTAAATGTCAAGGTCTATTTTCCCCAAACTCCACCAGTGTTCACATTTGGGCATATTGACTATTCATGCCAAGTTTGATTCAGATCCATAATTGCTTCAGTCCACAGTGCATGTAGGTGAACTACAACTCCAAAACCCAAGGTCAATGCCCACCAAACCCTTCCAGTATTGTCTGCTGGGCATGGGAGTTGTGTGTGCCAAATCTGGTTCAATTCCATCATTGGTGGGGTTCAGAATGCTCTTTGATTGTAGGTGATCTACAAATCCCAGCAACTGCAACTCCCAAATGTTAAGGTCTATTTTCCCCAAACTCCACCAGTGTTCACATTTGGGCATATTGAGTATACGTGCCAAGTGTTGTTCAGATCCATCATTGTTTGAGTCCACAGTGCTCTCTGGACGTAGGTGAACTACAACTCCAAAACTCAAGGTCAATGCCCACCAAACTCTTCCAGTATTTTCTGCTGGGCATGGGAGTTGTGTGTGTCAAGTCTGGTTCAATTACATCATTGGTGGGGTTCAGAATGCTCTTTGATTGTAGGTGAACTACAAATCCCAGCAACTGCAACTCCCAAATGTCAAGGCCTATTTCCCCAAAACTCCACCAGTGTTTACATTTGGGTATATTGAGTATACATGCCAAGTTTGATCCAGATCCATCATTGTTTGAGTCCACAGTGCTCTCTGGATGTAGGTGAACTACAACTCCAAAACTCAAGGTCAATGCCCACCAAACCCTTCCAGTATTTTCTGTTGGTCAAGTTTGGTTCAATTCCATCGTTGGTGGGGTTCAGAATTCTCTTTGATTATAGGCGAACTATAAATCCCAGCAACTACAACTCCCAAATGACAAATTCATCCCCCCTAACCCCACCAGTATTCAAATTTGGGCGTATTGGGTATTTGTTCCAAATTTGGTTCAGTGAATGTAAACACATCCTGCATATCAGATATTTACATGATGATTCATAACAGTAGCAAAATTACAGTTATGAAGTAACAACAAAAATAATGTTATGGTTGGAGGTCACCACAACATGAGGAACTGTATTAAGAGGTCGCGGCATTAGGAGGGTTGAGAATCAGATATGCATTGAAAAACTATAGCAAAATGTGCTACAGGATGTCCTGCAACAATGTTTTTGCAGTTTAATAATCCTTTTCCATGTTTTTATGATACAATCAGTTAGGAAATGACATTTATAAACCAGGAACAAACAATGCCTCTAGAACATGGCCATATAGTCTGAAAAAAACCACAACAACCCAACAAACATTGTGTTACACTGAACCAGCAGAAAGCAAAAGTCACTGACTCTGGCCCCATCTTTACTGGCCATTTAACGTACTTTGAAGCTAGCTTCAAACTATAATGGTCAGATAACAAAATCCCACAGAAGTGCACAAAAGGAAGCCTTTAATGTGCATTAGTGGTTTGTGGTTTGCGTAATAACACCCAGGCCTCAAACGGGTGCCAGGGTTTCTTATGTAATCATCTGCATAGGGAGAACACTTTCTTCTATACCAGTTTGGAACTGCATTAAATGGTCAGCGTAGATGGGGCCTCAGAGAACTCTGAATATGGGATGCTTAACATGTTTTGAACCCCTTTCTCTCATCTCTCCCTCCTCTTAGGCCAGATCTACACTGCTATTAACTGCATTATATGGGGCAACACCAGGCATGGGCAAATTTTGGCCCTCCAGGTGTTTTGGACTCCAACTCCCATGGGCAAACTTTGGCCCTCCAGGTGTTTTGGACTCCAACTCCCATGGGCAAACTTCGGCCCTCCAGGTGTTTTGGACTCCACCTCCCATGGGCAAACTTTGGCCCTCCAGGTGTTTTGGACTCCAACTCCCATGGGCAAACTTCGGCCCTCCAAGTGTTTTGGACTCCAACTCCCATGGGCAAACTTTGGCCCTCCAGGTGTTTTGGACTCCACCTCCCATGGGCAAACTTTGGCCCTCCAGGTGTTTTGGACTTCAACTCCCTGGGCAAACTTTGGCCCTCCAGGTGTTTTGGACTCCAACTCCCACAATTCCTAACAGCCTACCGGCTGTTAGGAATTATGGGAGTTGGAGTCAAAACACCCGGAGGGCCGAAGTTTGCCCATGCCTGGGTTACACTACAGTTTAGAAATGCATTATATGGCAGTGTAGATCCAGCCTTAGCAAACCCCATCACTTTTGTGCCAAATCTCCACTAGTTTTGCAAGTATGTTATGGCATTATTGCCATTTGTGAAGCGCTAACATAATATTTGTCTTCCCCAATGCAACAATGATGTATACAGTGTTTTGACTGCTGTGCGTTTAATAAAAATCCCCTTTTAGGGAATTCTGTGTAAAGTTGGCTTTTCCATTCCAGTCTCCCTGATGCATAATTTGCCAACATTGCAAGACCTCTGAGAAATATACTCAAAAATCTGTGTAAAGTTGGCTTCTCCATTCCAATTTCCCTGATGCATAATTTGCCAACACTGCAATAAACCAATCAGGACATACATGAATTTGGATTATTTCCCTGTTTTACTTGTCTCTTACCTGGAGAAGTCAGAACCAGGATCAAGAGGGTGGAAAGCAGAAGAAGCAGGAACCGCATGATGCCAAAACAGATTGGCTTTGGAGTGGCCTGAATAATGGTTGGTGTTGGGATCTTTGTCTCCTCCAACGCAATGGTTCAAGGACACTCCTTGGTTGCTGGACACACTCATCCGTTCAAAGCTGGTGATTGCCAAACGTGACCAATGAATGAGTTGCTGCACGTTTGTTATTTGAGGAAGGAAGGAAGGATTTCAAAGCCATGTTGTTCCTTCCCTCCAGAGTGCAGATGGAGTGAGAGGAAAACCTCAACCGTTCTTTCCTCAGGTGTCTGTTTGAGAGAAGGAAATTGTTCAACTCAATGTGAGTTAGCAAAAACCTCTCCGGCACAGATAGACTTGATCGTCCAGCTCCATTTCGTCTCCACTAAGAGCAGTTAAATTAATGTATAACAATAGAATTGGAAAAGACCCCCAAGGGCCCTTTGTCATGCAGGAGAAGCACAATCAAAGCACTCCCAACAGATGACCAGACATAGAATCATAGAATCATAGTTGGAAGAGACCTCATGGGCCATCCAGTCCAACCCCATTCTGCCAAGAAGCAGGAAAATTCCATTCAAAGCACCCCCGACAAATGGCCATCCAGCCTCTGTTTAAAAGCTTCCAAAGAAGGAGCCTCCACCACATTCTGGGCAGAGAGTTCCATGGCTGAACTGCTCTCACAGTCAGGAAGTTCATCCAAATGTTCAGGGGAATCTCCTTTCTTGTAGTTTGAAGCCATTGTTGTGCGCCGCAGTCTCCAGGGCAGCAGAAAACAAGCTTGCTCCCTCCTCCCTGTGGCTTCCTCTCACATATTTATTCCATAGCACTGAGCCATGACAATTAAAATGGGTGAAATGGTATTAATTCTACATTGTAGACAAAGTGTGTGTGCCTTCAAGTCATTTCTGACTTTAAAATGACTATAAGTTGACCCTATCAGAGCAGGGATTCAAACTCTTGTTTCTAATGTCCTCGTTCGAATGCTCAAACTCCAACCTCAAATTGACTCCCCCATCTTGTTGAACAACCTCCCTTAATCTTCTATTTGTTCTTCTTGTTGACTTTGTCTATTTGTCTATGTGTGATTTAAGTAGTAAAGCCTATTCCTTCCTTCAGCAACTTGGGTTGTTGACATTTACTTTCTAGACTAGCCGTCCCCTGCCATGCGTTGCTGTGGCCTAGTCTGGCGATCTGGAAAATAAATAATGAGTTGATTTCTACTATATGTAATGTTTTTATGCTTGTGGGTAAACAGTATTTCTTGCTGTTTCTTTGTCAGTGTTGATGCAGAGAGTATCTGGTTTGCCTACTCTGGAACATGCAATATATCATTGTCCTTCTTTAAGGGTCCCTTTCAAATCTATGATACTATATCTGTGTGTGTGAATCATATCTATCTATCTATATCGATGGCAGGATGGCTCTTTGTCAGGAGGGCTTTGATTACATTTTCTTGCCCTGGTGAAGGGAGTTGGACTGGATGGCCTTAAGTATTTTCTGTGCCGTCGCACTTGGGGGCTATTATTCTTAATGAAGGAGGGATGGACGTGGCACCTTTCCCCAGGGGATTGCTTCTTGCCCTCCTATAGGAAACTGGAACTCTCAAAAACCCAAAACGCTGTAAATAACTCAAAATAAGTTTTATTGATCACAAAGAGTCATTTCTTTAAAGCAATAAGCTGGAAACTTCAGAGGGGTGAAGGAAAATATATGTTACAGTCTCAATTAGTCCTGGGCCCAAGGAGTTTGAAGCTGAGAAGCCTCACCAAGTTTCCTCTTTCCTCAATGGCTGTGAATGCCGGAGCAAACCACAACCCCAGTTCAGATGGCCTATGTTTGAAGATTCAGGATCTTCCTTTGGTGCCAAAAGAACTGGCTTAAAGACCAACATCGTTCAGGTTGGTCTGAACATGAAGCACAAGTCTCAAGGGTAAAAAACCTCAGAACTGATGCTAAGAGGTAATTTAAATCAGGGTCTTTTAGAGTCAAGTCTCTTACTCACGTCCATATGGTAAGAACTCTGATGGCAGAATGAAAAGAAAGGAAGCACTCCCCTCCTGCAGGAAGGTGGAGCCAAACAGTACTGATTGACAGCTATAAGTAACCAATCCATACAACTATACATAAGCAGGGTAAAAGGGGCAGGATTAAGCATGATACAACAGTTTAAATCTTGCAACTAACAGTTCTATACATAGGTGGCGCCACTCGCGCCGTCACATTTTCTGTTGGTCATGGGGATTCTGTGTGGGAAGTTTGGCCCAATTCTGTTGTTGTTGGGGTTCCGAATAAATCCCAGCAACTACAACTTCCAAATGTCAAGGTCTATTCCCCCCAAACTCCATCTGTGTTCATTTTTTGGGCATATGAAATATTCGTACCAAATTTGGTCCAGATCCATCATTGTTTGAAACTTGGCATGAATACTCAATATGCCCAAATGTGAACACTGGTGAAGTTTGGGGAAAATAGAACTTGACATTTGGGAGTTGTAGTTGCTAGGATTTATAGTCCACCTACAACCAAAGAGCATTCTGAACCCCACCAATGATAGAACTGGGCGAAACTTCCCACACAGAGCCCCCACGCCTTGAAGGGACTCATTGGTTTGAGCCTCCCTCCAGCCTCGCATGCCCTCCCTCGCCCACACATGCGCATCATACTGCCATGTGCTGAGCATGCCTGCTCTCCCCTCCCAACTTAGAATCTCAGAAACAGCCCTCCTCTTGGCTGAGAGGCTGACCAATCATAGCGGAGGAGGGCTTTTAGTGGGAAGATTCACCATCTGTTTCCAAAAAGGAAGAGAAGGACAGGAGGAGAGATCTTTAGCCTTCTCTGCCAAAGCGGTTCCTAAAACCATCAGAAATGTATGTTTTCCGATGGGTTTTACCGACCTCTCTGAAACCCCCTTGCAACTCCCCATTGGTCCCAACCCCCAGGTTGAGAAACGCTGCTGTGATATCTTTCAGAGTGGGGAGTGCATGCTACACTGTAGAATTACTGGAGTTTGACATTGCTTTAACTACTATGGATCAAGGGATTGTGGGAATTGCAATTTGGTGAGGCGGCAGGACTCTTTGGCAGAGAAGGTTAAAGAACTTGCAAAACGACAACTCCAATGAGTGAATGGCATTGAACTATGGCACTTAAAAGTGGTATCAAAGTGCATTAACTCTTTAATGTAGCTACATTCTAAGTCAGTGGTACTCAACCGGTGGGTCCCCAGATGTTTTGGCCTTTAACTCCCAGAAATCCTAACAGCTGGTAAACTGGCTGGGATTTCTGGGAGTTGTAGGCCAAACTATCTTGGGACCCACAGGTTGAGAACCATTGTCCTAAGTCAGTGTTTCTCAACCTTCCTAATGCTGCGACGCCTTAATACATTTCCTCATGTGGTGACCCCCAAACATAACATTATTTTGCTACGTCATAACTGTAATTTTGCTCCTGTTATTAATTGTAATGCAATTATCTAATAAGCAGGATGTATTTCCATTCACTGGACCAAATTTGGCACAAATACCCGATATGCCCAAATTTGAATACTGGTGGGGTTGCGGGGGGATTGATTGATTTTGTTATTTGGGAGTTGTAATTGCTGAGATTTATAGTTTACCTACAATCAAAGAGCATTCTGAACTCCACCAGTGATGGAATTAAACCAAACTTGGCACACATGCCTCCCATGGCCAACAGAAAACACTGCTAGTGTTTGGTGGGCATTGACCTTCAGTTTGGAGTTGTAGTTCACCTACATTCAGAGAGCACTGTGGACTCAAACAATGATGAATCTGCACCAAACTTGACATGAATACTCAATATGCCCAAATGTGAACACTGGTGGAGTTTGGGGAAAATAGACCTTGACATTTGGGAGTTGTAGTTGCTGTGATTTATAGTTCACCTACACTCAAAGAGCATTCTGAACGCCACCAACAATTGAATTGGACCAAACTTCCCACACAGAACCCCCATGACCAACAGAAAATACTGTGTTGTCTGATGGTCTTTGGCGACCCCTCTAACTCTGGTGACCTCCAGAGGGGTCCCAACCCCCAGGTTGAGAACCACTGTCCTAAGTGTATGTAGCTGCAAGTCTTCTTCAGATTTAAGGGTTAAGTGCTAATTTGGACTTGACTAGCATAGGCCCATTGTATCAATGGGATTTACTGATGTTTCGACTTGCCAGACAGTAATGGATTTAGTGGTCTATTCTAGTCAGGACTGAAAGAACAACAATGTCAACAAGAACACATTTGGCGACAATATGATGCTTAGGTAACAATTTTATTGAGAATGAGAAGCATTTCTTTTTTTTTTCTGAATGTATCTGCCAAGCAAGGTATATTTTCAAACAAGGTAGAAAGCAAAGGGATGAAGCTGGAGTAGACAGATACTAAAGAAATAACATCCAAGACTTGGCGTGGATATGATGGTAGGTCTTGTCACTCATCACGTCTCCTGAGAAGGGCTGCGTTAGGTCAACCAATTGAGCTGTGTCAAATTAAGGAAAGTAAAGAACAATCATTCAATTGTATTGTCGAAGGCTTTCATGGCCGGAATCACTGGGTTGTTGTAGGTTTTTCCGGGCTATATGGTCAATTTCTGGAGGCAATTTTTCTCCTGACGTTCCAACAGACCTCACTACCTCGGAGGATGCTTGCCATAGATGCAGGCGAAAGTCAGGAGAAAAATTGCCTCCAGAACATGGCCATATAGCCCGGAAAAACCTACAACAACCCAATCATTCCATTCTTGCCTCCAACAGACAAGAGTTCTTTCTCCCACTCTGGACATTCCACAGATATATAAACCACACTTGCCTTGTTTCCAACAAACTTCACAACCTCTGAGGATGCCTGCCATAGATGTGGGTGAAACATCATGAGAGAATGCTTCTGGAGCATGGCCATACAGCCTGGAAAACTCACAGCAATCCATTCCATTAAAATTAATCTCATTCCATTAAAAAAACGCCATAGGAACAAGGAAACCAGGCAGATGGATTTTAACTTATCCTCCCATAAAGCCAAT